TAATAATAATAAACATAATAATAATAATAATAATAATAATAATATTTATTATCCAATAGACAATACAATTAATTGTATAGGAACAGTCACAGTCAATTCTTACAAACTAATACAAATACAAACAAAATAAAAATAAAATAAACAGAATAAACAGAAATTAGGTAGCAAAGTACTCGTCCAATGCATTTTTAAATGAAAAATCGTTTTAAAGCTATTTTAAAAGATCTTAACGTAATACATTTTTTAATAGCTGCATTTAAATGATTATATAATATTAGGCCTAAACAGTTAGGTGTTATAAGCCACCAGTCGTTTGTGAAATGGCACACGAAAATGATTCACTTGCCTTGTATTGTGTGTATGCGTATCCACAATATATGCGAATTTATTCTTATTTATAAAAACATATGTACACATTTCAAATATAAAAAGTGCTGGAAGAGTTAGGACTTTATACAAAGTAAAAGTATCTTTACAAGTTTTTTTAGATGGTAGGCGAAACATACATCTTAAAATTCTCTTTTGAGCAATAAAAACGCTACCAGCATGGGACGCGAGTCCCCAAAAACAGATTCCGTACCTAAGACGTGACTTCACCTGAGCATAGTACAAACATATCAATTGACCAACATTTAAAACGCTACGCAAATTTTTTAGTTGGTACGTCACTCTATTAAGTTTTTGAATTAAACTATCGCATTGTGAATGCCAGTTTAAACATTCATCAATATGTAGACCGAGGAACCCCACAGTATCAGAATCTCTGGGAATAATAGAATTATTGATTGTAATGTTAAGTGGATCACAATGTTTCTGTCTGGAATGAAAACGTAATAGTCGAGTCTTATCGGGATTGAAATACAAAAAGTATTGTGAAAACCATTCACCCATATCTGACAGCACATCTTTACACTTATTAGTTAAAATTTTGTCTAATTTGTCAGATAAAATGATTGAAGTATCATCTGCATATAAAGTAAAATATGCTGCAGTAGACAAATTTGTCAAGTCATTTATATACAACAAAAAA